TTGTTTTACTAATTGTAACGTTTTAAGATTAAAGTTAAGCTTAATGTCAAAATACAGGATTTCGAATCAGTAATATCATAATAGTGTTATCATTATTTTTGAATACAAAATTATCATAATCAAACATTTAATCAGAGACTAAAACTGATATCAGTGTGAATATACCGTACAGATTTTGTATGGATTTAAGTAGTTATAGAAGCTGTATATACACAAGTACATAATTAAAAGAAACAAAAAACAATACTAAACAACGCTCGATGCACCTAATGGTATAAATAACTGCAACTAAATATACACCTAGTTGTTTGCTGGTAGTATATACAGCGATAATTCAAGGCGCTTATTTTACTGTCACTGCTATAATAATAATTTAACGCTGCATTTTAAATCTACGACACATTAATACTTTTAAATTTAGGTCTTTGCTTACTAATTATTGTATGCTAATACAGGTAATCTATATTAATAATATTATATTGTGTTGTATTCATTATTGTATATTTTGAATATTATTATCGTAAATAATAGTGATATTTTTAAGTTTGAACAACGATTTTCGATAGTTTTGGAGGTTTCTGATGTAGACTATTATTTATTTTACGACTAGTCTCTTAAATGTTAAGGTCTGGCTACGTCAAGCAGTGCATACTATTATCGTCCCAGTGGTGTTCTGCTTACAAATACCGGCCCATTGTAGTCTGACATTTTTCTTTTCGCGGGAAGGGCTAAAGTTATTAGGTCCTTTTCATTTGGACACTGCGCACACCCAAGGCTGATCTTAACGACTGCCACGCCGGAGGTTTCAATCGAAGTAACCATCACTATTCTCGGAATATTTACGATCGATTTTATTATTATTTTTTGTTATTGTCAATTGCATGCGGGTGATGCTGAAAAAAAACCACCCCCTTTACAGTGGAAATATGTTTACGGGTCGTGTGTATATTATTAATAATACAACCGACGTGTATATCATATATATATATAAAATCATACTTGTTCGTGCGACTCTCGACACGGCGAGAGACTCTCTGCACCACTACCTGTGTGGCTGCACCTTATCGCACTCGCACCCCCCCGAGTGTACACTCGGCCCGTTTTTAACTAACCGCGACTGGCGCCGTCCGGAGGATGGAAACACCGGGGCGAGCGGTCGTGATGTGTTAGGTCGAGGGGGGGGGGGTGCGGCGTCATCTTTATACACATATACCAGCAGCGTAGTGGTCGTGGTCGGGTATCCTGTCGGGCGCGGGGTTGAATGCAGTGCGATCGCGGCGTCCGATACGAACGGTACCCTCCCAACGACGGTGAAAATTTACTACGCTCTCGTCCGAGATTTCAGGTAAGTCTGTGTTTTTTTAGTATCCCATATCAACCGATGAGACGGCGACCGCCGCGATGGAATTTTACATATATTTTCGTTCTATAAATAAATAGGTATATTATTCGTCGCGCCGTTTCGTCTTCCTATATATTTATTATAGGTACCTATTATTGTTATTCATTTTTTATCGTTTAACTCTATTTACGCGTCGACTGTTACGAGTATATATATTAAATCATTATTGCACTCCATGTTGTACGCGGAACGTCGTGCGTCAGATGTATGTTTTGTATATTATTATATTTTATTTTATGTATGTACCGCGTAAAAGCCGACTGTTCGATTTTGTCTTAACTTCCCTTGCAGGTTACTCGGGTGGGTCATATAATATACAAAATATTATACTCATGTTATAGTCGCTCGATCGTGGTGAATCGTATATTATGATATTAACTAAACAACACGAAATATATAATGTAGACGTAGCGTTTTCACCTGTAAGTATGAACAGTATGGTTAGGTATATAATGTAATATATGTATACATATATGTGGCGCGCTAGTGATGCGCCTTATTACATTATTATTGTATGTTATTATATAGTGTTCTCCTGTTAAACGAACGCGGTCACTCTGCGGTGATGTTTGGGCACCGTGGCGGGTTTTTTTGAAACCGGTGCCGGTATATTCTTAACCAGCTAATAAATTATCCTATTCTAACAATATATATATAGGTACTTACCTATATAATATGTGCGATCCCGGTCGTGTCCATGATTATTCCGTCGCGAGATAATTTTCACGAATTTCATATTATGACACGTGTATACATATATACTCGTAATTATTATGCGTACAGGTATATAAACGATGACCGAGTCTATGCACAAAGCTAAGGGACACATTGATATATCTTATATTTACTCCGCGGTATAATATGTAGGCACTTGTGAACTGTGAATTATTGACCAAGTACCAAAGTGGTTGTATGTGGTTATGGGTATTGTAATGTTTCTCATTATTAGAATAGATAAAAATTATATGTTATTTTCAAATGTGTGTTTTCTGACATTCGATGACTTTGGTAAAAAGCCATATTATAGAAAAGCGGACGTACAGATCAAAGGTGATGACTATAGGATTATTAGGATTAGAATAGGTACATGTCTGATCGGGTGATAGTCATCATAACAAGGTGACTCGGGTTGGCTAAGTTGCAAGCTGAAATAAATAAGCGATAGACCTATTGGGGGAGTCACAGCTGAGAGTCGATGTAGATCAGAACTGAACGTTTGTATTAATTAATAAAAATACTAAGCGTTACGTAAATTTGTGTATCCTTATTATGCCTTCAATTCAATTTCGAGTGCTGAAGCAGACACGTTATACAACAGTATACAGTTTATGATGGTAAAGAAAAACATTATTCCAATTTATTTCAATGTTATTTATTTTTCAAAGGACTACTCATTATTTGTCATAGAGCCGTGTTTTGAAGAAATATTGTTTTTATTTAATAGCATACCGCACAACCTCTATTGCATATTTAACGACTCTACGAACAGAGTATTGAAGTGGTGACTATACGTAGTATAATAATATTA